GAGCCATCCCCATGTGGCGTTATGTGCGGCTGTTCCCCCCAGCCGCCCCACCCCAGAGCTGGCCGCATCTCAGCGCCGGGTGAGCCATCCCCATGTGGCGTTATGTGCGGCTGTTCCCCCAGCCGCCCGCCCCAGAGCTGGCTGCATCTCAGTGCCGGGTGAGCCATCCCCATGTGACGTTATGTGCGGCTGTTCCCCACTGCCCCACCCCAGAGCTGGCCGCATCTCAGCGCCGGGTGAGCCATCCCCATGTGGTGTTATGTGCGGCTGTTCCCCCAGCTGCCCGCCCCAGAGCTGGCTGCATCTCAGCGCCGGGTGAGCCATCCCCATGTGGCGTTATGTGCGGCTGTTCCCCCAGCCGCCCGCCCCAGAGCTGGCTGCATCTCAGTGCCGGGTGAGCCATCCCCATGTGGCGTTATGTGCGGCTGTTCCCCCAGCCGCCCCGCCCCAGAGCTGGCTGCATCTCAGTGCCGGGTGAGCCATCCCCATGTGGCGTTATGTGCGGCTGTTCCCCCAGCCGCCCGCCCCAGAGCTGGCTGCATCTCAGTGCCGGGTGAGCCATCCCCATGTGGCGTTATGTGCGGCTGTTCCCCCAGCCGCCCCGCCCCAGAGCTGGCTGCATCTCAGTGCCGGGTGAGCCATCCCCATGTGACGTTATGTGCGGCTGTTCCCCCATCTGCCCTGCTCCAGAGCTGGCTGCATCCGAGGCCAAGGGCTTTGGGCTCTGCTGAGGTCAGGGACTGTCTTGACGGGGGCTTGGACTCGGTTCTGGTTCTGACCCGACAGGGCTCCCGCTGTCATTGGTCCTGGCCGTGACCGGGCTGACCCGGCCGGGTGGGGGCTCGGTCCGGATGGAGGCGGTGGAGCTGGCGGACCCCATCACGGGCCGGCGGCTTGGGGGGAAGCTGCCGCTCCGGGAAGTGGCTAACGGGACAGGGCTTTACGCTGCGGCCCTGCCCCCAGCCCTGCCCCGGGGGGGCTTTGCGCTGATCCTGAGAGGGTCTGACGGCCGGGGCCGCCGCGTGGAGAGACCGGCCCCCCAGGTCACCTCGGCCGTGGGGTTCCTGCTGCAGGTTGGTGCTGCTGGGCCCCAGGGCGGCGGTAGGGGGCCTGGGCTGCAGGGAGGGGGCAGGGAGCTCGGTGGGGGGTGCAGTGGTGCAGGGAGGGGGCGGGGAGCTCGGTGGGGGGTGCAGTGGTGCAGGGAGGGGGCAGGGGGGCTCAGTGGGGGGTGCAGTGGTGCAGGGAGGGGGCGGGGAGCTCGGTGGGGGGCACCGTGCTGCAGTGAGGGAGTCTGGGGAACTCTGGGGGGGTGGCGCTCTACTGTAAGGAGGGGGTCCGGGCTCTGTGCTGCAGGGAGGGGGCAGGTAGGAGGGTGGGGGGGTCAGGGGGGCATCATGCCGCAGGGAGGAGGTGGGGAGGCAATGGGGGTCACCATGTGAAGGGGAGGGGGCCCAGTGGGGGTCGGCGTGCAGTGCTCCCCTACCCCAGAGCCAGCTCTCCACGGTTCTCCCCCCAGCTGAGCAGCGCCGGGCCCCTGTTCCCGGGGCAGACGGGCACCGTGGCCTGGTGGGTCTGGAGCCCCGAGGAGCCCCAGGAGCTGGGCCTGGCCGTGAGCAGCGACCCCAGCTACCCCGTCAGCACCTCCAGCCCACGGTAACGCCCCCGGGGCCGTCTGTCTGTCTGTCTGTGCTCAGCTCCGTCCAGCCCTCGGCTTCCCAGACTGGCCACCCGTCTCTCCGTCCATCAGCTCCCTGGGTCGGTCTCTCTGACCATCCATCCCTTGGCTCCCTGGGTTGGTCGGTCTGTCCATCCTTCCTTCCTTCCATCCATCCATCCATCCCTCGGCTCCCAGTCGTCTATCCATCCCCTGGCTCCCTGGGTTGGTCAGTCTGTCCATCCATCCCTCCTTTGGCTCCTTGGGTCGGTCTGTCCATCCATCCCTTGGCTCCCGGTGTTGGTCTGTCCATCTGTCCATCCATCTCCTGGCTCCCTGGGTTGGTCAGTCTGGCCGTTGGTCTGTCCATTGGCTCCCGGGGTTGGTCGGTCTGTCGTCGGTCCATCCATCCCTTGGCTCCTTGGGTCAGTCTGTCTGCCCATCCCTCCTTGCCCCAGAGCATCCGTCTGTCTCTCTTCGGCTCCCAGCTTCCATCCCTCTGTCCCTTGCCCGTCCCTGTCCGACCCGCCACCACCGATGCCGAACCCTCCTCTCCTGCAGGCTGCAGCTGGGCAGGAACCAGACGGCGACAGGCGTCATCTCGCTGCGGGTGCCCGGCAGCGCCACCCCCGGTTCGGCCGTCACCGTCACCCTCCGCGCCGACCCCCTTTCCCCGGCCGGGGACGCCAACTTCGCCTTCATCCAGCTGCTGGTGATGCCCCGGCCGCCGGTGAGTCCGGGGGGTGCAAGGTCAGCTGCGTCCAGCACATGGCATCGCGGCACTAGCTCTGTGATGGCCACGAGAAAACCAGGGAAATGTCCTCCAGCAAACTTCCCGACTCGCTGAAACTGAAACGGCCCAAACTTCGTGAGTCTTTTAGAAAACGCCCAGAGAAATCAAACGCCCAAAAGCTTGGTGAGTCCCTGCAAAACGCAGGGACCGAGAAGGCGGCCAGAGCTTTGTCAGTCGGCCGTAGAAAACCAGGGCAATTGATTCCCTAGACACACTGTGAATCATTGGCTTAAAACTAGAGAGATGAAATTCCCCAAACCCTTGGGAATCGTTAAGATGAGAAATTTAAATGCGTCCCCAAACTGTGAATCATTAGGATAAAATTTGGGAAAGTAAATGCCGTAAACTTAGCGATTTGCCTGCAAGGCAAATCCTCGTCCTTTCAAACTAAGGAAAGGAAATGTTAAAAAAAAACAAAAAAAACTTTTTGAGTTTTCACTGTAAACCTAGGGAAGGGAAATGCCACAGCGTCATTAATCTAAAACTAGGGAAATGAAATATGCAAAGACGCTGCCAGTGTAAGACTAGGTCCGTTGAAGGCCATGAAACGTCGTCGAGGGTTAACAGAAATGAAATGGCAAAGAAACGTGGTGATTCGTTACTATAAAACGAGGGCAGTTAACAACCAAGCAACTTTGGGAAGCGTTTCTATAAAACTTTGGGAAGCGACATGAAGCAATGGGGGAAATTGAATACCCAGAAAGCTTTGTGAATCATTAGGAAAAAAACAAAGGAAAGGAAATGACCCCAAACTTGGTGAGTTGTTAACAGGTAATTGCCCTAGTTCTGTGTTAAAAATCTCTGTGTGGGCCTAGCCGGTGGGTGCCTGGCCTGGCTCTGGCCTGTTTGCCCGCCCTGCCCGTCCTCACCGCCACCCTGTCCCGTTCTTCCTGCAGGTGCCGAATCGCGCCTCTCCTCCCTGCAACGCCACCTCGGTGGCTGGCACCTGCGGCCCGCCAGGCTCCCCCTGCCGCGGGCGCCGCTGGACGGCCAGGCTGCGGCTCTGGGACGGGGCCGGCATCCGGTCGGTGCTGGCAGGGGGCGTGGCCGTGCCCCACTGGGCCGACGGGGCGGCGGCGACGGCCACCTACTCCTCTGACTGCTGCACCCGGGAGGCGGAGCTTCTGGTGACCAACCGGCTCGGGGAGGAGTATCGGTGCCTGGTGGCGGCACCTCCTGCTGGCACCGCGGGGGACCTGGCTGTCGCCCCCTGGTGGTGGATGGCAGCATTGGCCGTTCATGTGGCCTTCCATGTTGGGCTGGGACACTGATGCTGCAGGGCGCCCCCTGGTGGTGGGAGGGGGAGCTAGGGTACATCATCCAGTCCGGCTATGGCACCCGCTAGTGGAGACAAGTGGTACTGCGCTGGGCTGGGCTGCTCTTGCTATTGGATGCCCTCTGGGGGGAACTGCGGGAGAGCATCCAGGTCAGCTCTCTTCTGCAGCTGCACTGGGGGCTGCTGGGGGAAAAGGGACTGGTGACCGTGTGGCTCTAACACTGTGCAGTGAGTGCGTGTGGGGTGGGGGAGGTGGGACTCAGGGTTCATACCATGACACCCTTGGGTGGGGAACCCAGGACCGGGCTGTTTGAGATGCTTTTCTGAGCCGACACTAAAAATACAAATAATTTCCAGCAAAAAATATATTTCCCCCCAACTTTGGGGGACTAACCTTACGCCCCCGACTCCCCAGCACCAGCGCTCCCCGTGAGGCATGGCGAGAGCTCCTGGAGGTCGGAGCCTCTCAGTCGCAGCGGCAGGATTCGAACTCAGAACCTCCTGGGTGCCCACCCGCTTGGACGTTCTCCTAGGCCACAGAGCCCAGAATGGCCGGGCTGCCTTGTGTTAACGCACAGGGCTGAGTATCAGGACTCCTGGAGTCCATTCCTGCCTCTGCTGGGCAAGTCCCTTTCCCAGTCTGTGCCTCAGTTTCCCATGCCACTCCTTGGTCTGTCTAGTGTGTAAGCACTTCAAGGCTGAAACTGTTCAGTGTCTGTATGCAGACCTAGTGCAACTGGTGCCCTGATCTCAGTCAGGAGGGGTGTGTGCAGTGCATGGGGCCCTGATCTTAGTTGGGGAGGGTGAGGTCTGCAGTGCCCAGCATGATGGGGCTGTGATCTCTATTCTGCCTTCCGATGCTGCCCAGTGATCGTCCCGAGAAGCCTTTTAAATTTCGTCTCCTAATGGTTGGAAGAGTTGTGGCTGATCTGTATATTTTGGCTAATTATTTCCATTCAGTGAATTATTTTTGGATCATATTTGTTTCCGGTGATTCTGGTATTTCGGGGTTATGATTTTAAATTGGGTTTATTGTTTGGGTGTTTGTGCAAATGTTTTATTGGTTAAAAATACCACTGTTTTTTTAATTAACCTGCTGTTAATAAAGAAAATTGATAAAGCCGCAGAAGAGGTGAGTTTCAATTCTGAGTTGTGACGCTGGGACATGGGGCCAGTCCCCTCTAGGGGGCGCTGGCTCCCATCTGGCCCCAGTCCAGGGGCCTGGCTGGCTCAGCGAGGCGGGGAATGGGACATTGAATGCAGAGGTGAAGCTTGAATTCTGTCCTTTCCTTTTGACCAAGTTTATTATATTAATTGCAATCAATTTATTTACAGCCGTTAGAATAAATATCTCGGAGGAGTCTCCCCCCCACATCCATTGTCTGAAGTGGGGGAGGACGGGGGCTAACACAGAGGTTAAAGCTCACGCTATGTGTTGTCAAAGGGATGCTGTGGGTAAAGGAAGGTGGTGGAAGGAGAATCCCCATCAGCTTTTAGCTCTAGAGGGCTAATGACACACGTGCAGGGCTGAATCCAGCCACTAGAGGGCACTTAGACAGAGACAATATGTCACACCCCCCAGGGAACCCTGAAAATGCACACGAGTAAAAGTACGGGTTGATGGGTGTGTGTACGCGTGTGTGTGCGGGGTGGGGTGGGGACCCCATAGATCTATAGCCAAAGGTCATGCTGGTGCAAAGCAGTGTGGGTATTCCCCATTAAAAGCCTCTTTGGACAGTCGGTTATTAGACCTCTTGTTACCCATAATCCTTCACTGTTGTTCCCCCCACTCCCCAGTCTGGGAGACCAGCCTGTCAAAATGGGAAGTGATGTCACCTGGAGGCTCCCAGATGCCAGGAGTGTGACATCATGGTGTGTGTGTGTGTCCACGAGAAAGGCCGTGACCTCAGAGGGTGGGATGGGGTTGGAATTGACCAGGAAGCAACCACACAAGGGTTGGCGGAAGAAGGGACAGGAAGTGAAGAAGTCAGTGACATCATCAGAAACGGCGAGGAGGAGGGAGAGGAAGTGACACTAAAGGCTCTGAAGAGGAAGTGATGTCAGCAGAGTCTGAAGATGATGTCATACCATCAGGAGTGTGACATCATGGACCACTGACAGGAAGGAAGAAATGACAGAATAGGACCGGAGGAGGAAGTGAGCTAGTTGCTTCCAGGTCCAGCAGGAAATGACTTCATTGTGCATTGGGGGGGGTGGAGCAGAAGGAAGTGACCTCACTGGCCCTGGGAGAACGACAGGAAGTGATGTCATTGCACTGGGAGAAAATTACATCTTTTCTCTCAGAAGGAAGTGACTTGGGTCCGGCTGGTGTGAGACAGGAAGTGACTGTCACGTAGGTCCGCGGGAGGAAGTGACCTCATCCGTCAGATGAAGGTGGACTCCTTGTGGCTGGGCAGCCGGTAGCCCCGGCTCTCCTGGAGTTGCCTGCACAGAGCCACCTTCTCCTGCTCCAGCTGGGCGATGCGGTCGCTCTTCTCCGACACCTCCTGCCGCCGAGAGGACAGCGGTCACGCTCGGGCGGCCATATTGGCCTGGCCCCGCAGCCGCCCCCCAGGATGGGAAGCGCGGGCTCCTCGGGCGGCCAGTGGGTGGTGCTACCTCCTTGCCTCACCTCCTGGCTGCCTGGCGATGAAGACGCGGGAGGTGGCCATCTTGAACCCACTTCCCAACCGTGGCAGCCAAGAGCTCTCCCGTCGTTGCCCTCCCCCCCCCAAGCTCATAGGTCGGCACCTCCGCCCCCCTTCTCGAAGCCGGGCCTCAAACCCAACCTTGCCCCAAGCAGAGCTCGGGGGGGTCGGCCACTTGACTCTCTCCCCCTGCCCCACTCTAGGAGCAGGACGATCTGGGGGCCACCGGGGGGATGCGACTTCTCAGCCAGCAGAGCCACCAGGGGGCAGCGCAGAGGCCCCTGGCGCGTCGGCCAGCTTGACCCATTGCCCCGCACGGAGGGGGGCAGGGCGGACTTTGCGGAGTTGGCCACCTTGAACCCTTCTCTGCTGCCATTTTCTGAGGCCCGAATTCCCCCTCCCAGGGCCATGGCCACCTCCGTACCTTGATGAGGAGCCGGTTCTGCTCCTTCAGCACGCTCACGGCTTGCTGCTGCAATGCCTGCTGCTTCCCCACTTGCACGAGGGGGGCCCCAAACCGGCTGGAGGGGAAGCAGGGGGGAGGGTCAGCCTGGAAGCCGGGGGGAGGGGGCGGGGAGAACAGATCAGTTGAGTCCCTTTTCATACCAGCCAAGAGAGTGAATAGCTCTGTGCCCCTCACTCCTGACCCACAGCCCCTGATAGCCCTGTCCCCCCCGCCACTGAGCTCAGCTGGTGCCCCTCACTCCCGACCCGCAGCCCCCTGCTAGCCCAGCCCTGGGCTCCCCGCCCTCCCCGCCCCCAGCTCTGCTGGTGCCCCTCACTCCCGCCACGGCTGCGCTGACCTTTCCAGGGCTGGCTAGTAGGTTTCGCAGCCCGAGATTCACCTCCTGGATCTTGGCCAGCAGGAGGCAGCTCTGATTGGGGCAGGAATCCGGGAAATAATCCTGGGGGGCAGTGAGGAGAAATAGTCAATAGGGGAAAATTCCTGCAACGAGCGTGCAGGTCACCTGCCGGACGCCTGGGTCCCCTGTATCCACCATGGGCAGCTTGGGCTGACCCACTGAATCCCATATCACAGTTCGCCCCTCTGTCATGGGAACAACGGAATGATCCGTTTCACTCCCCCCAACGCTAAACAGTGGAATGATCCATCCACACTAAATCGTTATGAAATGATCCAATATTCTCCATCCACCAGTAACAATGGATTGTTCCACCCCTTCATCCCCCTAATAATAAGAATGGAATGACCCATTTCCTCCTCCCAATAATACTGTGGACCCATCTGTCCCACAGCCATTACAATGGATCGGTCCATTTCCCCTCCATGAGACTGTGGCAATGGTCCAGTCCGTTCACCCCTAATGGTAACAATGGACCAATCCATTCCCCCTCCATATAACAATGGACTGATCCACCCCGCTGACCCCACCTACTCTTTATAACAGAACAACCCACCCCTCTTAGGGCTGCCAACTTTCTGATCGCACAAAACCAAACCCTCTAGCCCAGCCCCTGGCCCGCTCCCCCACTCACCTCGTTTCCCCTTCCCTCGGTGGCTCGCTCTCCCCCACCCTCACTCACTTTCACTGGCCTGGGCCAGGGGGTTGGGGTGTGGGAGGGGCTGAGGGCTTCGCCTGGGGGTGTGGGCTCTGGGGTGGGGTTGGGGGGTGCAGGAGGGGGCTCCAGGCTGTGGGGTGGAGCTGAGGGATTTGGAGTGCGGGGGGGGGGGGCTGCGGGTTGAGGCAGGGGGTTGGGATGACAGAAAGGGTAAGGGCTGTGGGGTGGGGCCGGGAGTGAGGGGTTCAGGGTGTGGGAGGGGGCTCTGGGCTCGGGCTCCCAGTCAGTGCCAGGATGGGCGGGGGGGCTCAGGCAGGCTCCCTGCCTGTCCTGGGGCACCGTGCTGCACCCCGGGAGCAGCCAGCAGGTCCGGGTCTTGGAGCGGGGGGCCAGGAGGCTCCATGCGCCGCTCTCCCCCCACGGTTCCCGGCCAATGCGAGTACAGAGCCGGTGCTCAGGGCGGGGGCAGCGTGCAGACCCCCGGAGTCCATCCCACTCCCTCCCCCCACCAAGGAGCTGGACTTGCTGGCAGCTTCCAGGGTGCAGTGCGGTGCCCCAGAACAGGTAGGGAGCCTGCCTTAGCCCCACAGCACCCACGACCAGACTTTTAACGGCCCAGTCTATGGTGCTGACTGGAGTCACCCGGGTCCCTTTTCGACCGGGCGTTCCAGTTGAAAACCGGACACCTGCCCCTTCTATACAGTAATAATGAAATAATCTCTTCTCTCCACTCCCTTACTAAACACAATGGACCGCTCCATCCCCCCCATTATTAATAATGGACCAAACCACTCCCATCACACTTTACACAGTGGACTGTGCTCTGCTCCCCCCACAGTAACAACAGACTGCTCCATTACCACCCTATTCATGACAATGGACCAATCTATTGCCCCCATCATCCTAATGGACTGATCCTTCCACCACGCCCCTCTTGTTCACAATGGACTGATCCATCCCCGTTCTAATCACAATGGTTTGATCCACCCCAAAAATCGATCCATCCCCATCCCCTAATTAATACTAACAGATCAATCCAGTCCCCCGCACGATAACAATGGATTAATCCATCCCCCCTTCCAATAAAAATGGTTTGATCCATGTTCCCCAGGCTAACAATAGATTTATCCACCCCCATGAAAAACAATTGACTGCTCCTATTGCCCACCCCTCAATTAAAACCACCGGACGCAACCACCCCCCATTGTGACAGTGGACTGGTCTGACCCCTCCCAACCCCCCCAAAGACAATGAACTGACCCATTCTCCCCCCCCTCCCGTTAGGGGGCCTTGGTACGTACCGGCTCCGCCCCCACCTGCTCCTGCTTGCGCTGGGCCTCCAGCAGGTGGCGCCGGTACCAGCCCCGCAGGCGCTCGGCGAGATCCAGCCCCTGCAGCAGCGCGTCCCGCTCCCGCTCCTGGGCCTGCCGGCGCTGCAGCTGGGGGCAGATGGGGGTCAGCGGGGGGCGGGGCGCCCGGACGCCTGGGTTCTCTCCCCGGCTCTGGGAGGGGAGTGGGGTCTAGTGGGTACAGCAGGGGGGCTCCGGGAGCCAGGACTCCTGGGTTCTCGCCCCGGCTCTGGGAGGGGAGTGGGGTCTAGTGGGTACAGCAGGGGGGCTCCGGGAGCCAGGACTCCTGGGTTCTCGCCCCGGCTCTGGGAGGGGAGTGGGGTCTAGTGGTTATAGCAGGGGGGCTCCAGGAGCCAGGACTCCTGGGTTCTCTCCCCGGCTCTGGGAGGGGAGTGGGGTCTAGTGGGTATAGCAGGGGGGCTCCGGGAGCCAGGACTCCTGGGTTCTCTCCCCGGCTCTGGGAGGGGAGTGGGGTCTAGTGGGTACAGCAGGGGGGCTGGGAGCCAGGACTCCTGGGTTCTCTCCCCGGCTCTGGGAGGGGAGTGGGGTCTAGTAGGTACAGCAGGGGGGCTGGGAGCCCGGACTCCTGGGTTTTCTCCCTGGCTCTGGGAGGGGAGTGGGGACTGGTGGCTAGAGCGGGGCGCCCCGGACGCCTGGGTTCCCGGGGGCGGGGCTGTCACTCACCCACAGGAAGAAGTGCTCCGCCTCCCAGCTGCCCAGCCCGGTGCCCAGGGGCAGGATGAGGATGGTGTAGCCCCGTTGCACGGCCGAGGGGGCCAGCAGCAGCGACAGCAGGGGGCCGCGCTGCATGGCGGGGTGCGGGGGCCGGTGGGGGGGCCCCGTGTCCTTCCCTGTCTGCGCTGGCCCCTTCACCCCGCTCCTCTCTGCCCTGCTCCGGCTCCTCCGCTCGGCAGCCCAGCCCGGCACTGACTGAGGGGCCCGGCCCCCCCGGGGGAGCCCAGTCTGTGGGGGGGCCTGTGCCCTGCTAAGCCGCCCGGCATCGCTTCCCGCACAGAGACAATGGCCCTAAGCCCCGGCTTCCGCCCGGCTGGCCAGGGAGACGGGGACGGAAAGAAACCGTCCCCCTGCCAGCCCTAGAGCGGACAGGCCCCATTCCCCACCCCCCTGAGCCAGCCAGTCCCCGCCCTGGGGCTGATGGGAGCCGGCGCCCCCCAGAGGGACAGGCCCTGGCCCCATTCCCCCCCATCCTCTAAGACTTCACTAATTATGTCTGTTCTTCCCCAGAAGAGAACACCAGCACGTCCCACAAATATTCCAGGGGGGCTGCGGGTTGGGAGTGAGGGGCACTGGCAGGGCAGGGGGGAGCCCAGGGGGCTGCGGGTCAGGAGTGGTGAGCCCAGGGGGCTGCGGGTCGGGAGTGAGGGGCTCCGGCAGAGCTAAGGGGGGCAGGGCTAGCAGGGGCTGTGGGTCGGGAGTGAGGGGCACAGGCAGGGATGTGGGGAGCCCAGGGGGCTGCGGGTCGGGAGTGAGGGGCACTGGCAGGGCATGGGGGAGTCCAGGGTGCTGTGGGTCGGGAGTGAGGGGTGCCGGGCCAGGCAGGGGGAGCCCAGGGGGCTGTGGGTCGGGAGTGAGGGGCTCCGGCAGGGATGTGGGGAGCCCAGGGGGCTGCGGGTCGGGAGTGAGGGGCACTGGCAGGGCATGGGGGAGTCCAGGGTGCTGTGGGTCAGGAGTGAGGGGTGCCGGGCCAGGCAGGGGGAGCCCAGGGGGCTGTGGGTCGGGAGTGAGGGGCTCCGGCAGGGATGTGGGGAGCCCAGGGGGCTGCGGGTCGGGAGTGAGGGGCACTGGCAGGGCATGGGGGAGTCCAGGGTGCTGTGGGTCGGGAGTGAGGGGTGCCGGGCCGGGCAGGGGGAGCCCAGGGGGCTGTGGGTCGGGAGTGAGGGGCTCCGGCAGGGATGTGGGGAGCCCAGGGGGCTGCGGGTCGGGAGTGAGGGGCAATGGCAGAGCTAAGGGGGGCAGGGCTAGCAGGGGCTGTGGGTCAGGAGTGAGGGGCTCCGGCAGGGATGTGGGGAGCCCAGGGGGCTGCGGGTCGGGAGTGAGGGGCTCCGGCAGGGATGTGGGGAGCGCAGGGGGCTGCGGGTTGGGAGTGAGGGGCACTGGCAGGGATGTGGGGAGCCCAGGGGGCTGCGGGTCGGGAGTGAGGGGCACTGGCAGGGATGTGGGGAGCGCAGGGGGCTGCGGGTCGGGAGTGAGGGGTGCTGGGCCGGGCAGGGGGGACTCACCGCCCCATAGTCGATGCCGTGGGTGATCGTGTGGCGTCGCGGCTCCTTCGGGACTCGGAGGCTCCGGGGCTGCCCCGCCTGGCTCAGGGCGCTGTTGATGCTGCGAGATCGGGTCACGCCCCTCGGCTCCCCCTCGCCTGCGGGGAGAAGGGTGGGGGTGAGCCCCAGCCTGGGGCGCGGGGCCTGTCCCCTCTAGGGGGCATCAGCTCCCATCTGGCCCCAGGGCGGGGACTGGCTGGCTCAGGGGGCAGGGAATGGGGCACGGGGCCTGTCCCCTCTGGGAGATTTTGTCCCCTTGCCCTGTCCTTGCTGCTGTAATTAAACCACTAATTAATTACAGGGCCTCATTGATTCCCCAGCTGGGCCTGAACTGAGGGCACAAATCCTGGTATTGGAGACAGGGATACGCCCCTCGTCAACGTAATTAACGGGCTCCGGGTGTCCCACGCTGGTGCCCCTCACTCCCGACCCGCAGCCCCTGCTGCCCCAGCCCTGGGCTGCCCCCATGTGACTCAGCCCCTCGGCTTGGGAGAGCCCTGCGTGCTAGAGAAGTGGGGGTGGGGGGTGCAGGGATTTAAGGGGCGGGGGAAGGCTGGGGGGGCACTGAGGGGAATGGGAGCCTCGAGGGCTGGCTGAGGGGCCGTGGGGCCCGTGGGGCAGGGTTCCCATGGAGACAGACCGAGGGACAAAGCCGGGGCTTCTGGCCCAGCCCAGCCAACTCAGCAGAAACAGGGTAGCCCGGGGCCCGGTGCCAGGAGTGACTGGCGCTGTCCCCCCACCCCCCACGGACACAGCTGTCTGCCCGATGCCGGGCCGCACGTAGGCAGCTCTGCCGGTGCCCCTCACTCCCGACCCGCAGCCCCCCGCCAGCCCAGCCCTGCCCCCCAGCCCTGCCGGTGCCCCTCACTCCCGACCCGCAGCCCCCCGCCAGCCCAGCCCTGCCCCCGCAGCCCTGCCGGTGCCCCTCACTCCCGACCCGCAGCCCCCCGCCAGCCCAGCCCTGCCGTCCCCTCGCTCCCACCCGCAGCCCCCGCCAGCCCAGCCCTGCCCCCCAGCCCTGCCGGTGCCCCTCACTCCCGACCCGCAGCCCCCCGCCAGCCCAGCCCTGCCCCCCAGCCTGCCGGTGCCCCTCACTCCCGACCCGCAGCCCCCCGCCAGCCCAGCCCTGCCCCCCAGCCCTGCCGGTGCCCCTCGCTCCCGACCCGCAGCCCCCCGCCAGCCCAGCCCTGCCCCCCAGCCCTGCCGGTGCCCCTCGCTCCCGACCCGCAGCCCCCTGCCAGCCCAGCCCTGCCCCCCAGCCTGCCGGTGCCCCTCACTCCCGACCCGCAGCCCCCTGCTAGCCCAGCCCTGCCCCCCAGCCTGCCAGTGCCCGTCACCCCCAACCCGCAGCCCCCTGCCAGCCCAGCCCTGCCCCCCAGCCTGCCGGTGCCCCTCACTCCTGACCCGCAGCCCCCTACCAGCCCAGCCCTGCCCCCCAGCCCTGCCGGTGCCCCTCACTCCCGACCCGCAGCCCCCTGCTAGCCCAGCCCTGCCCCCCAGCCCTGCCGGTGCCCCTCACTCCCGACCCGCAGTCCCCTGCTAGCCCAGCCCTGCCCCTGCAGCCCTGCCCCTGCAGCCCTGCCGTGCCCCTCACTCCCGACCCGCAGCCCCCGGCTGTTCGAGGTGCATTTAGCTCCATTGATCTCATGGATTCGGGTCTTTCCCTGTCACCTTTAGCCCAAACCTTTTCTCCTGGCGGGCCGGGCTCTGGTAAAGTCCCACGTGCCCCAGGTTGGAGCAGATACAGCCACCGAGGGAGCCCCATCCCCCAGCACTGAGATGCAGCCACCTCTGGGGTGGGTCTGCTGGTTATACAGGGACCCCTCACCCAGCACTGAGATGCAGCCACCTCTGGGGCGGGGCGGCTGCTTGTATTCTCCGGTGGGTGTTTCGTGGGCCGAAGGCTGGCGATCCGGGAAGGGAGGCGTCCGCGGCAGCTGGGGCTGGCGCTGGGCCGGCCGGTGGGTCAGATTAGACGCCTTAATCTGCAGCTTAAAGCGAGTGAAATCTCCCAGGTGCCAGGCTGGGGGGAGAGATGCTCGGAGCAGCGCCCGCGGGAGCTGGGGTAGGTGGCGAGGGTGTGTGTGTGGGGGACTAGGGCAGTATTGGGCCCCTCTCGTACCGGAAATCCACGGCTCGCCCCTCCCCTGCCGTGGGGCCGGCTCCCCAGGGCTCTGGCTGGCCGTGGGGCTGGCGCGGGCCCGGCTCTAAGAGGATTGGGGCTCTCCATGGCCGGGGAGACAGGATCAGCCCTGCTAAGCCCCCGGCCGTATGCTGCCAGGCTGAGGCCCCCCTCCCCTCCTGCCTGAGAGACCAAGGGGGGGTGTCTGGCCCTACAGCCTCCTGGCTGCCCATCCCCCCCATCCATTCCCACACAGATCCAGTATCTTCCCCCGCCCCCCATCACCCCCAGCCGCGAGAGATGCCACCGGGGCCTTGGGGTCACTCACTGAGCTGAGAAGGAGCCGGGGGGGGGTCAAGAACCTGAGTTCTTGGCTGCCCCCAGGGGGGCAGCTTCCTGCTGAGCCTGAGCAAGGCCCCGGGTGTGTCTGACCCCCCCCTCACCCCCCACAACTGTGCCTCTCGGGGTCTTCCTCCCCACGAACCCCTGCCCCTCCGAGAACCCAGGCGTCCTGGCTCCCAGCCCCCCTGCTCTAACCACTAGACCCCACTCCCCTCCCAAAGCTGGGGAGAGAACCCAGGTGTCCGGGCTCCCAGCCCCCCTCTGCTCTAACCACTAGCCCCCACTCCCTTTCTGGAGTCAGGGAGAGAACCCAGGAGTCCAGGCCCCCCGCTCTGCCCCCCTCACTCACGTGTCTGGCCCCCGCTCGTCCTCTCCTGCGCCGAGTTGTGTCCAGTCTCAGCCGCCTCCGCCCTGGGCCCCTGCTCCTCCTCCTGGTCCCGGAGCAGCGCGATTCTCAGCCCCGCCACTAGGCGGGGGAAGCTCAGGAACCCGCCGCTGGGCCCCGCCACCTGCTGCAGGGCAGGCAGCACCCCGGGGGGCAGGAGCTCATGCTGTGGGCCCCCCGGGGGGCTCAGGCCCGGGCCCCCCCGGCCCCAGCGGCTCTCGATCTCCGACAGGTGCACGGCCCCACTCCGCTGCTCGTCCAGGATCTCGAAGAGGGTCCGGAGGCTGCGGAGGAAGGGCCGGGGCAGCCGTGGGGCCAGGCCCAGGGCAGGATCCTCGGGGGCACCAGGGGGAGGGGAGGCAACCAGGGAGGTCATGGGTCAGAGCGGGCTGGGGGACTGGGAGCCAGGACGCCTGGGTTCTCTGGGAGGGGAGTGGGGTCTGGTGGGTTAGAGCAGGGGAGGCTGGGAGCCAGGACGCCTGGGTTCTCTGGGACGGGAGTGGGGTCTGGTGGGTTAGAGCAGGGGAGGCTGGGAGCCAGGACGCCTGGGTTCTCTGGGACGGGAGTGGGGTCTGGTGGGTTAGAGCAGGGGAGGCTGGGAGCCAGGACGCCTGGGTTCTCTCTGTGGCGGTGGCTTCGTCCGTCTGTCCGTCCCTCGCCAGCCCATCTCGGAGCCAGAGCGGCTGAGCCGAGGGGGGGTGGGATCCCAGCTGGGAGCCAGTCACGTGACTCACCAGCCTGTCCACTTAATCCTCCAGGCCAGCTGATTAGCGGCTCTGGCTAATGAACCTTCCCCACCCCGGGATCGGGGCCAGGGGGTCAACCCCTTGGAGGGGGACGGGGAGACCCAAAGAAACCAGCCCCTACCCCCATCAGCTGCCTTCCCTTTCGCTCCTTTGTCTGCTCCCTGGGTCTGGGTGCCCTTTGTTATTGTAGGGTCTCCCAGATCAAAAGTGGGGTGGGATGGTTTGGTTATGGTAGGGTCTCCCCAGGCGCTGGGGCGGGGCTGGTTTGTTGAGGTCCGGTTTCGCGGAAGTGCTGGTTATTGTAGGACCTACTGTAAAGCCAGCTCAGCCCAAGCCAGGGAGTGGTGGCCCCTGTAACCCGCCATGCAGTGAGGGGCCCTCACCCCGTGCTGCCCCCTGGCCTTCCACCCCTCCCCCTCACACCTGCCCCCCATCACACCCCACCCTCTCTGCCGTCCTCCTCCCCCCGGGGGGCAGCGGGACCCTCTGTCCGACCGGAGAATCCGCCCCCGGCTCCTGCGGGGAGACCCCCAGAGAACGGGGCTGGGGAGGGGGCCCCCACCGCTGGGGAGGGGGCCAGGGAGGTCCTCCGAAGCTGGCACAAGCCTGACACCTTGTGGCCAGTAGCAGCGCTGCAGCATATGGATGGCAAGGCTCCCCCCAGCTCTGCCGGTCCCCTCACTCCCGACCCACAGCCCCCTGCCAGCCCGGCCCTGCCCCCTCCAGCCCTGCCGGTGCCCCTCACTCCCGACCCACAGCCCCCTGCCAGCCCAGCCCTGCCCCCTCCAGCCCTGCCGATGCCCCTCACTCCCGACCCGCAGCCCCCTGCCAGCCCAGCCCTGCCCCCTCCAGCCCTGCCGATGCCCCTCACTCCCGACCCGCAGCCCCCTGCCAGCCCGGCCCTGCCCCTCCAGCCCTCCTCCCCTACTCCCACCCCACCCCCTCCACCCGCCCTGCCCCCTCCAGCCCTCCCCCCTCCTCCCCCCGCCCGCCCCCCCGCCCGCCCCCCCCAGCCCGCCGGCCCCCCCCCACCCCCCCCTGCGCCCCCCCCCCCTCCACCCTGCCCCCCCCCGCCCCCCCCCCGCCCGCCCCCCCCCCCCCCCGGCCCCCCCCCGACCCCACCCCCCCCCCCCCCCCCCCCCCCCGCCCCCCCGCCCCCACTCCCCGACCCCAGCCCCCCCAGCCCGGCCCGCCCCCTCCAGCCCTGCCGGCCCCCCACCCCGACCCCCCCCCCCCCCCCCCCCCCCCCCCCCCCCCCCCCGACCCACCCCCCCCACCCCCCCCCCCCCCCCCCCCCCCCCCCCCCCCCCCCGCCGCCCCCCCCCCCCCCCCCCCCCCCCCCCGCCCCCCCCCCCCCCCCCCCCCCCCCCCCCCCCCCCCCCCCCCCCCCCGCCCCCCCCCCCCCCCGCCCCCCCCCCCCCCCCCCCCCCCCCCCCCCCCCCCCCCCCCCCCCCCCCGCCCCCCCCCCCCCCCCCGCCCCCCCCCCGCCCCCCGCCCCCCCCCCCCGGCCCCCCCCCGCCCCCCCCCGGCCCCCCCCCCCCCCCGGGCCCCCCCCCGACCCCCCCCCCCCCCCCCCCCCCCCCCCCCCGGCCCCCCCCCGCCCCCCCCGCCCCCCCCGCCCCCCCCCCTCCGCCCCCCCCCGACCCCCCCCCCCCCCCCCCCCCCCCCCCCCCCCCCCCCCCCCCCCCCCCCCCCCGCCCCCCCCCCCCCCCCCCCCCGCCCAGCCCTGCCCCCTCCAGCCCTGCCGATGCCCCTCACTCCCGACCCGCAGCCCCCTGCCAGCCCAGCCCTGCCCCCAGCTCTGTCGGTGCCCCTCACTCCCGACCCGCAGCCCCCTGCCAGCCTGGCCCTGCCCCCTCCAGCCCTGCCAATGCCCCTCACTCCCGACCCGCAGCCCCTGCCAGCCCAGTGGGACTCTTTCCCCGTTCGCTGTCTGGCTGTTTCTCTCTCTGGTCCCCAGGGCTGGCGCCTCCGGATTGAGTTCCCGGCTCTGGCTGGTTGGCAGAGAGCAGCTGTCGGCTCCAGGCCCCGGGACCGTCTGTTCATCTCCCCCTTGGGCGCCGGGGGCGGAGGCGGGGGGGACGTGGGCCCAGCCAAGATAGCAGCTGCCACTCGCGGCATCTGGGACTGGGAGTCCGAGGAGCCTAAGGACAAAGGAGGAAAGTGGCAGAGAAAACCAGTGACCTCGCGGCTGCGGGTCGGGAGTGAGGGGCACCGGCAGGGCTGGGGGGGGCAGAAGCCCCAGGCTCTGGCAGGCGCCGCCCCACGGGGCAGGTTGTGGGCGTCTCACAGCTCTCGAAAGTCTGAGGATTATTGTTCGCGGCTCGCCGGGTCCCTACGTTTGGCTGCCCCGTCACTGACCCTGAGATGCAGCCACATCTGGGGTGGGGGCTGGTTATACGGGGACCCCTCTGCAGTGGGACGCGGCAGCTGGTTACACAGGGACTCCTGGCTCGGCACAGAAACGCAGCCCCTCCAGGGTGTGGGGGGGACTGATGACATGGGGACCCCTTGTCCAGTGTAGAGATGCGGCCCCTCTGGGGTGGAGCACGGCGGCTGGTTACACTGGGACCCCAGTGCTGGCTCGGAGCTGCAGGCTGAGCTCCCAGGGCTGGTCAGCGGGGGCTGTAGCTGGGTGCCAGCCCAGGGCAGGGGAAGATGTTGCTGGTTAATGGGTAACCCAGGCCGAGCAGCCACCCAGGGGCTCTGTCGTGGGGGGGGAGGTGCATGGGGGGATGTGGCCTACAAGGGGTTAAATCAGCCCCCCTGTGGGCAGGAGCCCGCCTGGGACCCTTGGGGAGCAGCTCAGGGTCCCGTGGTGTCCCCCAGCCCCTCAGATCCAGGCTGCGGGCCCAGGCCTCCGGCAGGGGTTACAGGCGGCCCAGCCGCCGGGCAGCTGCCAAGGTCAATATTGAGAGAGCAGGCAGCTGGCATGGGCGGACGGGGGGTGGGGCCAGAGCAGCTCTGGGGGGGACTGCAGGGGGACGGGGGAACGGAGGGGGGCAGGGGACGGATGGATGGATGCATGGGGGGGGGCTGGGGATTAGCTAGATGGGGGATGGACAGATGATGGATGGGTGTAGAGGGGATGGGTGGGGGGGTGGGGGGGAGGGGGATGGGTAGAGGGGGTGGGTGGAGGGGAGGGTGTACAGATACAGTTGGGTGATGGGGGAGGGGCAGCAGGCCCCACCCCAGACAGCAGGGGGCCGGCTCTGGTCTCCATGGGACTGGGCCAGGCCTGAGATGCCCCAAGGACCGGGGGGAGGGGGACATGGGACCCAGCCCTGCCGGTGCCCCTCACTCCCGACCCGCAGCCCCTGCCATCCCGGCCCTGCCCCCCAGCCCTGCCGGTGCCCCTCACTCCCGACCCGCAGCCCCTGCCATCCCAGCCCTGCCCCCCAGCCCTGCCGGTGCCCCTCACTCTCAACCCGCAGCCCCTGCCATCCCAGCCCTGCCCCCCAGCCCTGCCGGTGCCCCTCACTCTCAACCCCCAGCCCTGCCCCCCCCAGCCCTGCTGGTGCCCCTCACTCCCAACCCGCAGCCCCCTCCTGATGCCTCGCCCCCTGGAGTGATTGTCAGTTATCAGTGTGGGGGTGATTTTGAATCCCTGCCCTCCCCCTCCAGTTTTCCTCCCCCCCGTGTCAGTGAGCCGCTGAAATGACTGACACCGGATTTCCGTGGCCTCTCGCCAGAGGCGCCCCATTCAGGGCTGAGGACAGAGCTTTATTGTGTCGCTTCACGTCTCCGCCCTGCCGGCCTGCCACGGCCACATGGGCCTTTCCTCTCTGTACTCAGCCCCCCGCCCCGCTCTAACCCACCCGATCCCACGCCCCTCCCACAGCTGGGATAGAACCCAGGCGTCCTGGCTCGCAGCCCCCCAGCTCTAACCACTCCCCCCCACTCCCCTCCCAGAGCTGGGGAGAGAACCCAGGCGTCCTGGCTCCCAGCCCCCCCGCTCTAACCACTCCCCCCCACTCCCCTCCCAGAGCTGGGGAGAGAACCCAGGCGTCCTGGCTCCCAGCCCCCCCAGCTCTAACCACTCCCCCCCACTCCCCTCCCAGAGCTGGGGAGAGAACCCAGGCGTCCTGGCTCCCAGCCCCCCCCGCTCTAACCACTAGCCCCCGCTCCCTTCGCAGGGCCAGGCAGAGAACCCAGGAGTCCTGAGCCCTGGGGGCAGCCCTGTCTGTGGCTGCTCCCGAGGGGCACTGAGCATTTCACTGGCACCATCCGTCTGTCCCGGGAAGGGAAGGAAACGTCGGAGCAGCCGGGAAAGGGGGAGCGGAGCAGGGAGAAAGGAGGGAGGGACCGCGGGTGTGAAGGGAAAGAGGCGTCGGGAGCGGAGAGAGGGGACGGGGCAGGGGCAGGGAAGGGGTGAGACCGGGGGGAGGATGGAGAGGAGGGGGAACGAGACAGGGGAAGGAGGGGGGGAAGCCAGGACAGAGGGAGAGAAGGAAGGGAAAGGAAGAAGGGGAGGGAAGTGAGACGGACGGGGTGGGACAGGGAGGGGATGGGGGAATGAGAGGGGGCAGGAAGGAGGGGGTAGGTGGCGAGGGGGGCAGAAGGAGAGGGAAGTGGGTAGGTGGGGGGCAGAGGGAGGGGGGAGAGAGGGAAGGGGCGGGGCTGGTAGGAGAGAGAGGCAGCCCCCCTCCGCCCCAGCCTGCCCCCTTCCCTCCCGGGTGACTCACTCTCTTCCTGGGTGGGGCTGGCGGAGGAGGACCCGTCGCTCCGGATCAGCTCCGCGTTGCGGTGAGAGTTGCCCGCAAGACTCCGAAGTGGGGCGATTCGCGCCCCCCGGCCCGGACCCGGCTTTTCCTGCCCCTTGGGGGAGCCTTGAAACGCGCCCGAGCCGCGGAGCGGGGGGATTTGTCCGTTTCTAACCCCCCCACCCCCGGAGCCAGCCCCGGGCCATGGCTGAGGAGCAGACGCAGGTGGAGCTGTTTGTCAAGGTAAGCGGGGGGCTCCCCAAACTCCGGAGCCGCTCCGCATTGACTCCTCTTCCCGGGGGGGGCCCAGCCTGCCCCTCCCTTGTTCCCCAACGGGAGTCGGGCCACAGGAGAGTGAAAGTCCGGGAAGAGGAGGGAGCCCCCCCCTTCACTCCCCGCCCCTCTGAATTCCCCCCCCGGGTCGGAGGCGGGGCTGGGCTGGGGAGGGGAGAAGGCAGGGAGCTGGTTATTTGGGGGGAAAGGGGGGCTCTACTTCCCTCCTCCTTCCCCTGGAGTGGGGGGCTTCGTCTCCCTCCTTCTCTGCCTCCTTCCCACACCCCTTCCTCTTTGCCCTCCTCCTTTCTCCATCCCTTCCCCATTCACACCTCTCCTGCCCCTTTCACACCCCTTCCCTTGTTTTCACACCCCTCCTCTCTTTCACACCCCTTTCTCTTCATTTCCCTCTTTTTCACTCCTCCTGTCTCTCTCCC